AAGGAAAATGTTAAGAAAAAATGTTATTTCAGTCTAAGTCCTTTTGGACTCCCTGAATGGAAAAAATCACACTAATCCTTAATATTAATCTTATAATTATTAATACTTAACTTTCAAAGAAGCAAGGCCCTATTCTGAAATCCTTTTGTTTCATCCCTTTCAAAAATCTAATCAGTTTTATAGTGGGAAACTCAATCACAATTTTCTTGAAGTTAATCAAAAGAACCTTAAATTCCCTGAAATTAAATTAGGGTGGTGACTAGGTTAAGGGAACTCTTTACCCTTTTAATGGTAAACCAGATTTAATGGTTTTAAAAAGATTATTTTCCAGGGTTTGCTGATAGTTTAAGTTATTGTAGTTCCCTTTTATTAAGTTAAAATTCCTAAATCCCTAGACACTGTACCTCTGTTTTTAATCTTTCTATAGAATTTTGTCTTTGTTTCTAAATGCTATAAATTTTAAATAGGAATGACTTGAATGAGACATTTTCAATAAGCTCATATGACTCTCTCTAACCAACCATACTTGAATAGATGATGAATAAATTTGTCTTTGACAGACTTGTGCCAAATGGACTGAATGTTGAGTTTTTCCACATAATGTATGCCTCATTCTTTACCTATAGTTCATCTCCTCTAAGCTGAGAGACAGGAAGCATGTCATAGACTGTGTCTCAGTTATACATGGCACTGAAGAGATGCCCCAAAGCTGACTGCAGCAACCTGGGATTAATAAGACAATGGCTAGAATTGTACCATCTATCTATCTATCAATCTTTTTTTCCCCCCAAAGAATTGTACTATATTGACAACTCATATTAGATACTCCTCACATTCAGAGGCCGGGCTGATGGGCAACTCGGCCTGAATATCTTTGTTTTTTGTATTTTTCCTTAAAATTTTTTTTCTTAATGCTTTTAAATTTGGTACATCACTGTCATTCACGCAAAAACTAAGATAAGAATAAGGGATCAATCTTTGAAGGGAAATCAAAGGAACAAAACCCAATGGGGGTTCAAAACTAAATCAAAAGAAGTCTATCAGTGATACAAATGTTGTTAATAGCATAATAAACAAGACAGTGAAACTCATTTGCAAGCACTTAGGGAGACCATTTTCCCAACAGATAAATGGTAGATAGACTAACTGGTAGGGCTGAAAGGACGAAATCCAAGCTAGATCTAACCATGTGAAAAAAATGCTCCAAGTCATTAATTAGCAAAAGGCTTTACAATATTAAAACAACTCTGAGGTCCTACCTCATACCTATAAGATTGGCAAAGATGATAAAAAAGGAAACAAGATTTGGTGAGGGGCAGCTAGGTGGTACAGTGAATAGAGCACCCACCCTGGAGTCAGGAACACCAGAGTTCAAATCTAGCCTTAGATACTTACTAGCTGGGTGACCCTGGGCAAGTCACTTAACCCTGCTTGCCTCAGTTTCCTCATCAGTAAAATGAGCCGAAGAAGGAAATGGCAGATCACTCTAGTATCTTTGCCAAGAAAATCCCAAATGGGGTCACAGAGAGTCTGACATGACTTAACATTTGGTGATGGGTTTGGCAAAACAGGCACATTAATGAACCTACAAATTGAATTGGTTCAGACATTATGGAAAGCAATTTGGAACCATGTCCCCAAAGCCATGAAATTGTATATATTCTTTAATCCCTCTTTGCCACTTATGAGGCCTTTACCTCACAGAGAACAAATAAAGAGGAAAAGGACTCCTAGGAGTATTTGTAGCAACTTTTTTTTTTTAATAGCAAAGAATTGGAAATGAGAGGACAGAGGACACTCATCTATTGGGGAAAAGCTAAACAAATTATGGGATATGAATGTAATGGAATATTATTGCACTATGAGAAATGACAGAATGGATGGTTTCAAGGAAACTTGGGAAGATCTATAGGAACTGATGTAGGGCAAAGTGAGAAGAATAAAAACACTTTATACAACAGAATAAATAAGAAAAATAACTAAGAAAGCTTTAAGAACTATATGAGTGCAATGACCAACCTAACTCCAGAGAATTAATGATGAAACACCTACCTCTTGGCAGAGACAAGATGTAAAACATAGAACTTACATTTTCAGACACAGCCAGTGTAGAAATTCGGTTTGCTTGACTGTACATTTGTTGCATGTTTCAAGGAGGACTAGTATCTTTGATGTGAGGGCTTGCTGAGCCCTTTTCAGGGGTACTTCTCTATCTTTGATGTCCACCTGACTCTGGCTCTCATTGATTGGCCAACAATAGGCAAACCACACTTAGTGGTCATTGTTTGGGTACATGTAAATAGCAATTGTTTCTGTTTTGGCCAGAAACCCTGAGGGTCTTCCCCTCCCAGACTGATTTTTTTTTTAACTAGGCAAAAGAGATCATTCTTTGTCTCATTTTTTATCTAGCCTTAATCACGGAATGGGTGTTGCCTCAGTCAAAATGAGACCTGGGAAAGATCTTAGCTTAAAAAGACCAAGATCTCCTACTGCATCTGGGCCATCTCCAGTTGTCCTGAACTATATCTTGCCACTGGACCCGATGGCTCTGGAGGAAAGAGTGAGGCTGGTGACTCTGCACAGCCCTCCCTCACTTAAATCCAGTTCACTTGCAAGTCACAGCATCACCTTCCTGATCTTCAAGAATGAAAGACAAACAACAACCACCTCACTCACTCATCTCTCTCCTGTAGATTCAAGACCTGTAGCATGCACAGCAGCCACCCCTGGTAAAACCATCTCAGCAGACAGACTAAACCAGGTTGGGGGCTACCAAGAGGCCTTGGTGACTTAGAGGGATGTTTATCTCAAGCATATGAAGATATCCCCTGGTAGAATGGACAGATGAGAACAATTTTTCCCATAGCCATGAAGGTGGTTGAAGCAGGTGATGGGGAGTGCTTAGAGCTTGGTCTGGCATCAAGGATGCCAAAGTAACCCACTGCATCCCAGGATATGGCCAGTCACACTGACTTTTGTCTTGCCACTGGACTTTGATGACTCAGGAAGACAGAGTAAGACTGAAGACTTTTCATAGCTCTACCTCAATTGAGGAGCAGATTAAGACATCACCCTGTGATGTTATTGGTCATCTAAAAAGGAAGGAGAAACAACAACATATTTGTTACTAGGATTTCCCCCCCTCTTTTGTAGGAAGTGTGGGATAGGTAAAAATGGGTGAGGGAGAATAGGGATGGCTAGGTTAGGGGGAGACACAAATAAAAAAAAATTTGATTTAAAAATCCTTATTGAGCTCTTCCATGTCTGGAGACAACTCATGGTTTTCTTTGAGGCTTCAGATGTAGCTGTTCTCATTATGTTGTTTTCTTCTGAGCTTTTGTTTTTATCTTCCCTTTCACCATAGTAGCTTTCTGAAGTCAGGTTCTTTTTTTGATTGCTTGCTCATTTTCCTAACCTATTTCTTGATTTTATGTTAAAGTTGGGCTCTGCTGTCCAGGTGGAGAGTCGCTGTTCCAAGCTTCTGTGCTATTGCTTTCTTTTTTTTTTATTTTATCTTATTATCATTATTTTTTTAGGCAATTAGGGTTAAGTGACTTGCCCAGGGTCACACAGCTAGTAAGTGTCAAGTGTTTGGTTCGAGGGCGGATTTGAACTCAAGTCCTCCTGATTTCAAGGCCAGTGCTCTATCCGCTGCGCCACCTAGCTGCCCGCAATTGTTTTCAGAGCTAGTTCTGGGGGCTGGCTGTAAGTTTTCAGTTTTTCCAAGGCTTTGCGGTCAGTGCTCTTCTGGTCTCTGCTCTAGTCTGTGAGGGACCACAAGCACTCTTTTCTACCCTGGAACTGTGACCAGGGTCCCTACTACTAACACACTAGTGCTGTACCTTGAACTGGGACTGTGACCTGGAACCTTGTATGTGTAATACAATAGAGTACTGCATCCAGTGACAGGACGGGGTTCCCCTGTAATCTCCTTCTGACCGGTTGTCTGACCCCACCTCGCCCCATTTACTATATGCGGACTGAGAATCGTAGAAGCTGCTGCTATGCTGGTTTACCAGGCATGTCCTTCGGTGGTACAACCTTCAGACTTTCTAACTTGTCTTGGGCTGGAAAATAGTTTCACCCCGTCCTTCTTCAATTCATTTTGTAGGGTTATTTGGAAGAGCTCAGGCTAGTCTCTGCCTTTACTCCACTATCTTTGCCTTGACCTAGCTAACGCTCATCATCCAGTAGTTAATGGAACCTTCTGAAATTAACACCAAATTACATCTTACATTTTATGAAGTGCTTTTACGTGGACAAAGCGCATTCCTTACAACAACTCTGCAGGATAGTTAGTACAAGTATAATTATTCCCATTTTACAGATGAGGAAATTGTGCCACATAGAGGTAAAATGAGTTGCCAATCGACCACAAGCTAGTTAATAACATGAGGAAAAATTTTAAAGCAGGTCTCCCGTTCTATATCCAGCCCTCTAGCCACTCTACGAGGCTACATTTTCTCTGGGAGCGGAATTTTTGTCATTTCCAAACTGATTTTCCCAGCAGATCCGGGTAAAGAGAAAAACTTGGGGGGGAAAGCCTCTTTTCCTTTAATCAGTGCAATCAGCCACTGTTTGTTCCATTCCAACCCCTTACCCAGTTCTTTATGCAAGAACCAGGGGAGCGGAGAGCTCATAGACAGCTCCTCTCCTCCTCTACAGAGGTGTGGGAAAGGAGGTAAGTTTGGGGACCAACTACTTCTTCCCACCGGGAAGTAATTTACCAGCCTGGGCTGTCCTGACGACAGCGGAAGTCAGTGCAAAGCTTGAACCTACCACTCCCCGGCTCCGGAGAGGCAGCAGTGGAAGGGGGCGCATCGCTGCTCATTGTCTATCCTGGGAGGTGGGGGCGGGGTCTGGGGTTGATAGAGGGGGTGGGGCTGACGGTCGTTTGTTTTTGCTGGGCTGTCCTCGGATCTCGGAGCTGCAGTGATCGCTGGAAGTGGGAGGTGCGTGAGGCTGCTGGTGCTGCGTGTTCCGGCCGCTGGAGCCCGGGAGCCGTCGGGGCAGAGCGCTGCTCCTCTGCAGCCGCCGTGATGTCAGCCCGCTGCTGCGCAGGCCAGGTGAGCGGGGCCAGCCGGGGCTCGGGGGTGGCTGTCACAGCTCCTGCGCCTCGCGGGGACTGAGGCTCCGCCGGGGCTCTGGAAAAAGGAGGGGTCCTCGATTTATTTGCATGGGGGGGCGTGCAGGGCGACTCCCTCCAGCCCCCCAATGCCGTCTCGACCCCTGGGAGCATGGTCAGAGCTACGGCTCCGCGTTGCCCCTTTTCTTCCGGGCCGGAGCTGCGCGCACGCTGGCCGTCGGGGGAACTGCCCAGCTCAGAAGGTCCGCGAGCCCCTAGGTTCGGGTGCAGCCGCTGGGCTGGGGGTGCAGGATCTGTGGGCCTCAGGAAGGGCTGGACTGCTGACCTGATTCAGGGGCGGGTCTCCTATCCTGCTTTAATGAGGATTTCGCTTTGGTATCTCTCGCTGACCTCATCGCAGCCCGGTTTCTACTCACTAGTGAATCATGTAATCCCAGACTGTGTGTGGGAAGGAGCCTCCCGGGGTGGGCTGGTGCATCCCCCACCTGTAAGGGAATCCCCGCTGCTGCATCTCCGACAGGTGGTCACCAGGCTTCGACTGGAAACTCTCCGGGGACGGGAATCTGCTCCATCGGAATCAAGGGGAAAGTCCGACCAAGGTGCACTTTCCAGTCCTCTTTACCGTCCTCGGAAGTAGGAACTTGTGAAGACACAGTTGTACGCTTTGGGTATTTAGACTTTAAACAGACTGTAAAAAAAGACAAGAACTCTGGAGTGTGCAAACTGATTTGTAAATTTATTTTTCCTTAGTCAGACTTGCCTTGACTTGTTAAGATGTGCGCTTCCCAACCGGTTCACTTGAGGGTGGTGCATTTCCAACTCCTTAGTAATATACTCCTGGGGTAGAATGGATTGATTCTGGGCTTGTTCAGTTCATTTAAACTCATGCTTTTGCAGCCCTTTGGTGTTAAAGCCTCGGTTAGGTGAGTTCCTACCTTTTCACGTTTCTTCTGCAGAAAATGCGTCCCGCCTAAATTAATCCTGTTAACAAGGAGTTAACCTTGTTAAGGGAATCTTGATTGATTTGGAGAGGCTACTTGGTGGATATTGTAGGGGGTCAGGAAGACCTACGTTCAAATTCAGTGACAGACATTAAGCTGCGTGCATTCAGTTTTTTCATCTGTAAAAGGAGATTGGTTGCATGACCTCTGAGATCCCTTCCAGCCATAAAATCTATGATGCTTAAATTTGGGTGATAAAGTGCTGATGTCCATTAGCTCTTAGAGAGTGGAGACTTCCTCTCCTCCCTCTCCTCAAAACCTACCAAATCGTAGGTGCTTAATAAATGCTTATTGTATTGTCTTAAAAGTAAACCATTTGGAGAATGTAGTTGTACTCGTTCCTGCTAACAAGGGTAGCTACAGAAGCCCACAAATGAATTTGAGTTTGGAATAGTTAGTGATTTGTTCAGACTGCCCATATTTTAGATAATCTGCTAACTTCAAGATGGCTCTGAAGTCATCACCTGGTATCTTAGTTTTAATACTGTACTTAATAAGCATTCAGCCAGGCCTTTTTACACAGGAGGATGTTAAATCGAGGTTAAATGACTTTGCCCTGTGTCAGAACTGGGCTGACTAATGTATCTTGAGACCTAAGTAATGTTGTAAAGCTTTACTCCTGGAGAGTTAAAGATTCCCAAGGCTTGTAAAAGCAAATAAATCATTTTTTTTGGTGGAGGCATTGTGGGAGTAATTGGCACCAAAGAGAAACAGTTAAGTTATCAGTATTTTGGTTGAATTGTATTTTCAAATTTTTAAAATTCCCCTTTTGATAGCTCTACCTTGGAAAGAACCAATTACTAAGGTAGATGTTCATCAGTCTGTGAACTTGTGTTTTTTCCCAGTGTGTTCATTGATCTTTGTAGTCTTTTTGAGGCTGTGAGTGAATCACTGCTGTGTCTTTTCTGAGTCTCAGCAGCAATGGGGGTCATGTGGGGGTGTATGTGTATAAAGATATTTGTAAAGAGCAGTGGGACTCATAGCAGTTACAGTGAACAGTATCATACTGAGAAACGGTATGATACTGTAAACAGTACAAAGAAAACCTCATTTGAGAGTTCTCTAACACTAGCTTTACTGTACCAACCAGTCTTTTTTTTTCCATGGTGACAAAGGAAGCCTGTGTTCATGATGATGATACTAAAAGGCCACTTTATATAGTGATTTTTCACTTTTCCCAACAGTAACCCTCTGAGTATTATCTCCATTTTATGGATGAGAAAACTGAGGTTCAGAGAAGTTAAGTGATTTGCCCATAGGCACATGGCAAAGTGGATGGAATGAGGAATTCTATCTTCATGAATTCAAATCTGGCCTCATTTACTAGCTGCATGACCCTGGGCAAGCCATTTTACCCTGTTTACCTCAGTTTCATCATTTGTAAAATTAGCTGGAGAAGGAAATGGCAAACCACTCCAGGATCTCTACCAAGAAAATCCCAAATGGGGTCATAAACATCAGCAACTACAACACAGCCACTTAAGTGGGTGTGGGAGGTTAAGCAACTTTCCCAGAGTTTAGCACAGTGCTTGACACATAGTAATCAATCAACCAACATTTATTAAGCACCTACTATAATGCCTTAACAAATGCCCAGTTAACTAAGTGGCACAGCCAGAACACCAGCCTCAGCTTTCTAAGTACCAGTCCAGGGCAGCAAATAATTCTTTTAAATTATCTGGAACCTATCAGACATGCCTGAAGTCCCATTTTATTGCTTTGATCATATAACTGTTTTGATTTCCTGTGTACACACATCCAGAATTGGAATAGTTGACCCTTTTTTTGCTTGGTTTTTCTGCCGCCTTAAAAAAAAATAATCAAAGATTTCTCTCTTGTTAGGCTAAAGTTTTGTGTCAGTTGCACAAATGCACACCAACCCCATTTGGTTTAAAAACACATACTAGATCTAAAATTAATGACACATTGTTCCCAGCATGAGCTAGTCAAGAGATCATTGGAGAATAATTTGTAATTATGTAGAATAATGTAATAAGAATTGTGATGCTCTTTGTCTTTTAATGTAAATCAGGTGCAAGTTTGTAATTTTTAAAAACTGAACTGCTTTGCCATTCATTCAAAAGGCATTTCTTGAACAACTGTTGAGTACACTGGTGCATTGTAAAATGTATTTCCTCATTTCTCTATTCTTTCTCCCCATTGAGATTTGTCTCTCTTCCCCTCTTCCAAAATAAAAAAGAAAAGGGATTTATTTAAGCAACTGTGAATAGAAAACTGGACTGCTAGGTGCTAGGTGGTATAATGGTTAGAGTACTGGGCCTGGAGTCAGGAATACTCATCTTCCTGAGTTCAAATCTAGCCTCAGACTTTGTGACCCTGGACAAGTCACTTAACGCTGTTTGCCTCAGTTTCCTCACCTGTAAAATGAGCTGAAGAAGGAAAAGGCAAACCACTCCATTATCTTTGCCAAGAAAACCCCAAATGGGGTCATGAAGAGTCATACATGACTGAAATAACTCAACAGCAATAAAAAGTAGAAAACCAGAGGGGACAATATTCTATGGTCACTCCCTTCCCAATCTCAGGTAGATTTGTTTTCTTTAATGATCTCCCCCAGGTTGCTTGCCACCTTTTTCCTGAAAGGGATACCAGCCTATGAGGACAGAGGTGGAAAGAAAGACAGGAAGAAGAACAACCCAGCTGGGTGCCTGCCTCCCCAATAGTGTCTCTTCCCAATGAGATTTTTAATCCTCTCTAGGCCTTATAGGCACACTCAATGCTCTTTGTGTTTTCTAACGGTAAAGGAGGTATGGTTACTGTACTTCTTTTGAGTGCTTTTTGGCTGTGGGGAGATGATGATGATGATGATGGTGGTGGTGGTGGTGGTGGTGGTGGGGTGTGTGTGTGTGTGTTTTCACTGTTATACCACACTTTTGTCTTATATCTCCCAAGCTATGAGGGAGCTGCCTTGAGGCCCGGGCTTAATTAGTATTCAGAGCAGTTTTTAAAAAATTTTATTCCCTTGTGCTCTGTAGATTTTGAATTATTTTAATATGACTAGACTTTCTTTTTGAAGACCTTGCCACTTTTTTTTTTAAAGTGCCTGTTTGTAGAGTTGATCTATTCTGTACAAGACTCTCTTTGTTTTCCTTAGGCATAGTAAGGTGGTATGTGTGTGTGTGTGTTTGTGTGTTTTTTTTTAATTTCATTTTAGATCAAAGGCAGCCATCTCCCAAGAGCCAGTATCTGGCCGAAAGAACCAGCCCCTAAGCAGAGTGCCACATACTCTGCCCCTTCCCCCCTCCCCCATATCACAAAGAAGAGAAAACCACTTCTGCTGCTTAGAGAAGATATATTCAATTCTTTCTTTAAGGGAGACAATAGTAGCTTACATAGAGTTTATTAATTCCACCTAAGACTGGATTAACTTTTTAGTTTTGCACTGAATACCTATCATTATTTTATAAAGTTAGCAGTTTCAGGGTATTTGAAGTTGGCAAATTTGAAGGCAAATAGACTCGTAGAAGCACATAACTGAGTGAATGTGTGGGTTCCCTCAGCTTTTTTTTTTTACCTTCCAACTGATGTTATCTTACTCTTTTTATTCCTCAGTAAACAATTTCATTGGTGTGGCAGTATATGCAGACATCTTGCTCATTAACTATGCTCTTCTCTCACCCCCTCTAGGAAGTAACTAAGAAACATTTCCAGATAACATTTAAGCAAATACAGTCCACTTTATTATGCATGAAATCCTTGAGGGGAGCCACTGTTTTCATTCTCTCTTTGTATCCCGAAGCATCTAGCCTGGTGCCTTCACTAGATCAAAGATTTAGAGCTCCAAAAGAACTTTAGGAGTCATCTACACCTACCTTTTTTTTTTTTTTTGATGAGGAAACTGAGTCCCAGAGATGTAAAGTGACTTGCCCAAGGTCACAGAGCCAGTATATATCAGAGGCAGTACTTCCCTCAGTCTTCCCAACACCAAAACCAACTCTGTTTACTGCTGCAGAGCTGC